CCACCATCGCCCGGCTGAAAATCTACATTTTTAACTGAGTTAATTAGCACAATAGGGCTGGAGAGATGGCTCACCAGTTAATTGAGCCAGCAACTCTGGCTGCTCTTCCCAGCAACAACATGGTGGCTCACTACAACTATAGTGGGATCTGATGCCCTCTTCTGGCATAAAGGTGTATATGCAGATAGAGCACCCAAAATAAATCTCAATCACAAGAGTATTTTAGAGAAGTGTGAAGGATGAATTGGAGACTGGAGCAAGGACCCAGGAAGACTTCCTGGAGTCCTAGGACCTGTGAAAGGTGATGGACTGGCTTACTGGGGATAACGAACAGAAGATGGGTTAGATAGCAGTTGTCTGGGAGGGGTTAACAATTATTCTTAGATTTCTAGTTGGAACAACTGAGTAAACTGTGAGGCTGTTAGCTGAGCTAGGGAGTTGTCATAGGAAAGATTACACTCAGATTTACATTTTTTATTTAAAAATTATTTTCATATTTATTTATTTTATGTGTGCCCATTTGTGCCTGGTACCCTCAGAAGTCAGAAGAGGGCATTGGATCCCCTACAACTGGAGGTATGGACAGCTATGAGCTGTCCACCAGGTGGGGGCAGGGAGTTGAACCCCAGTCTTATATAAGGACAAGCACACGTAGTCACTAAGCCATTTCTCCAACCCTCTGTTTGTGTTTGTTTGTTTTTGTGTAGTCTTAACTGTTCTGGAACTAGTTCTGTAGACCAGGCTGGCCTCGAACTCAGAGATCCACCTGCCTCTGCTTCCCAAGAGCTGGCATTAAAGACATGCGCCACCACCACCTGGCTCTAATATATAATCAATATTTTTTTTTATGTGATAGGGCAGGGTTGTACATGTCACAGGCATCCATGCAGAAGTCAGCAAGACTTGAAGGAGTTTGTTCTCTTCTTCCACCATGTGGGGCTAATTAAAGTTAGATCACCAGGCCAGCAGCAAGCACCTTTACCTGCTCAGACATCTATGCATTCTCTTTAGACATTTAGCACATCTGCGTGTCTTTTATCAGGATATTCCAAAGGATTCCTGCAATTATAAACTATTCTTGACAAGCTAGAGCTCATCTCTAGAGTTCAGGCTAGAAATGCTCTACAGCAGTATAGTTTGAAGTCTAAAAGTTAGACAGTCAAGTAGTGTAGTTGACATGAAAGCAGAGGTGGCTACAGAGAAGCCGCAGTGGCTTCATGCTCCTATTAAAGCACACATTCCATGCCAACTTCTTTTTTTGTTTTGTTTTTCGTTTTTTTTTTTAATTTTTATTTATTTATCATGTATACAATATTCTGTCTGTGTATATGCCTGCAGGCCAGAAGAGGGCACCAGACCTCGTTACAGATGGTTGTGAGCAACCATGTGGTTGCTGGGAACTGAACTCCAGGACCTTTGGAAGAGCAGGCAATGCTCTTAACCTCTGAGCCATCTCTCCAGCCCTTGTTTTGTTTTTCGAGACAGGGTTTCTCTAGCTTTGGAGTCTGTCCTGGAACTAGCTCTTGTAAACCAGGCTGGCCTCCAACTCACAGAGACCCGCCTACCTCTGTCTCCTGAGTGCTGGAATTAAAGGCATGTGCCACCACCACCCGGCTCCATGCCAACTTTTATTTAACTAGACGTAAATTGGAACCAAAACTGAGAGAAAATTCCTCCATCGTAATTTCTGAAGATGGAGGGGAGAGTTCATAAAGTTAAGCTCAGGACAGTTGAATGTGAGGATTCTGTCGAGGGAGAAACGCACATAACAGATAAAAGTGTACGTCTGAGAGAAAGTGGCACCTGAAACTCAGTTACTGTTGGGAAGATGCTCAAGGACATAATCTGGGGCAGCCACCAAGTGTGGAGGTCCCTGGAGAGGCAGCTGTCTCCTATCGCTTCCTTCATCGAAGATGATGTGGTGCTTTAGGCCAGCGGGCTGCCCTCCAGCCCTTCGTGGTTCATCTAGGTACAGTGGCAGTGCTGCCCCTGGTGGTCAGTGCTGCTCCCAGCTGCTTCAGTCCCCATGCGACGGCTCAGCAGATTATGGTCATCACAGGTGCCAGGTGTATGACCTGGACATAAGTTACTCCTTCTCTGGAAGGCTCTGCTGGCTATTAGGGGGCAGGAAAATATCTCTAAGAAATGGCCACTGATCTCTATATAGAATTTATACTTTATGCAGTGTAAACTAAAACAAATGTTATGAGAAACTGGGTAGGATTTCCCAGAGAGTGGATTTAAGAAGACAGTGGACGGCTGGACATACGTGGTAGAGCTCTTGCCTAGAAAGTATGAGACCCTAAGGTCAATCCTCAGCACCATCAACACACACACACACACACACACACACACA